GCGTGCGCTTGTTAGTTGGCCCCAGTAAATGTACCATTTCGAAGGAATCCAGAGCTTTTTCGCGCCTATCGCGGCTTTGTAAATATATTTCAGAAAATACAAATAAATTACCAGCTGAATGGGAATGTAAATTTTTATTATGCAACCGGTTTTTAATTTCGTGAATACTTTTCCTTTAAGTACTTCTTACAATCCTTGAAAAGAGCATGATAAGTTTCATGACGATACAGGATGTAATGATTATAGCCCTGACATGATGATGAATGGTGCCTATTTCACCCCAGTTACTAGATCCCTCAAGCCGTTGTATAAGTAAAATCCATGTTCCTACTTCTTGCAGCACTTTCTAGGACCATTTGAATACCTTATAACTACAATAAGCGACCAGAAGGAAAACATCTTAGTGTTGGCCCCACAGAAAACAGGACCTGTCGTTTTGCCTAAGCTAGAATCTTCTCGGTTCCAGGTACTTTTGCTTTCAAATGAGCGCAGATAGGTCATTCAAGTTGTTGTCACCTGGTTATCCAATGAAGGAACAGTGCTGGGTCGATGGTGTCCTCACTTATCCGTAAGCGCTTGTGCCACGAGTGATGATGCTTCGTCACCGGAGAGTGCAATAGGCTAAGGCTTCAACAGCCAATTCGGCAAATTGCTGAAACCAGCTCTTGTCGCACAAGTACCAGCTTTAGGATTTCATCAACGTCCTTACGGGATTCACCAACGAACTTGACTTGAAGACGGTCCACGCAGCTTCCCAACACACGCTCCTTGAACTATTATAAAATACAAATGCTCACAAGGAGAACGCGTTGGCCACGCTCACAACGCAATTTTCCTCCAAGAACGAACTCCAAGTCTCCGCTGCAAGACCATGAAGATCACGGCTCTCGTCGCCGCTGCAACACTCGCTACAGTGAGCGCCGTCACGGCTGACACGCCTGCTCTACGAGCTTTGGCTGACGCAGTCGAGGCCGATGCCAACGCCCCGACAGAAGGTGCCGACCAACAGGAAATGGGCTGGGGAAGACCTGGTTGGGGCTGGGGAGGTGGATGGGGAGGTGGATGGGGACACCACGGCTGGGGAGGTGGCTGGGGACACCATGGCTGGGGACACCATGGCTGGGGTCATCGTGGTTGGGGCTGGTAAGCTACCAAGTACTGGCGGAGCAAATCCGGACTCGAGAGACCGAATTCCACGCGAGAAACAAGCAAACTGTAGTCCTTCGCTCCCGTCGTCAACCGGTCACCTCTGCATGAACTCGTCTGTGCTTTCCTCTTGAACTGACGAGCTGAGTAGCGTTCGTTCTGTTTGAAACTCGAAATCAAATCATTTTTTCGATGTCACTTACTAAATCTGAGTTCATGATTAATAAAACAGCTCGGGGAGGCTGTGTGCCATTTTCGAGATCGGATAATATCCGATCTTATAAATGAAACTGAGAGGTTGTACAAAGCTGAAAACACACGTCTTCTGAACTCGTTAGCGCGTTAGTCGAGGAGAAATCTTCTGTTGATTGTAGGGATAAGGGGCTTACAAACACGTCGGAGGATATCCGCGTAGGTTTTGATGCCCAGTTCTGTACGTTTGAGCTCGGAATCGTGTAACCAAACGAATAATCGAGCGGGTACCCCGGGTAAAAAAGAATGTTGACCGCTTCACACCATGGGATTATTGTGGGCACAGCTTTCAATAAATATACAACATTAAGTGCAGCTTGCATCTATACTTTTCTATTTGGTGTAGCCACTAGCAACACAAGACAAGATACGCTGCGACGAGTACAGTAAGTACGCATAGCATGGATTCCAGTATTGATTTTGCATCAACGTGCTCTTTAAGTTTTAGCAGACTTTCTAGTAATTTAAAATTACTTTTTCCATTACCGGTACATGTACATTACATTGTGTGTTGCAGCTCTCGTAGCAACAAATCATCTCCTCCGCCTGCTTCGCGGCCGCAGCATTTACTTTGCTCGCTTAACTCCCATATGCTGCATATAGCTTGGCAACTGTACGACGTTAAGCGCGCGAAGCTGACATCCGAGCATTCATTTTCAGTCTCACTACCAGTCTATGACCTTATTCAGTGGTTACATCCATTATCCTTTTACTTTAGACAGCAGTAGAAAGTGTAGCACAGTCGGCAGCACGATGGGCCATAGCCAACAGAGATTCTTCTCTTGCAGATAGTACAAAATGTGTTAGACTCAACACGCAGTTTTTGGTGTCTTCAGTTTCAGTAAATACGCTCCTAATCGCTCGAAAAGTGCTAGCTACTCTCCAATAATTAATAGAGAAGGAGAAAGAGGAGCAGGCAAGCCATGAGCTGCGTTTTAGTTTTTCGGTAATGCAGCAAGTGACGTTTTCATACAATTTTCCATTTAAGTTTAAATAAAGACCATTTGAACGCTAACAATCACTCTGAGTAAACTTGAATCGGGATACATGACAAACGACGGTGTTCGAGTTGGTATGATTTTTTTTTCGATTAAAATATATCTGTAAGGCACTCACATTAAAGGCAAATAAGTAAGTAGGCCGTCTGTGGATACCCTGTTTGGGTGTTCAGGTGAGTGCGGGTAGGACTTCTCATGCAATCGGATAAACTGTGTTAAAGCACATCGCCCGAAGGCGTGTATGCTTACATGTAACGCATTTGTATTAGGACGAGGTAGACTTTTGGTCAGCATATGTGTCTCGTACCGCTGCGCTGGGCGGGCCTTGTTCAGCCCTTGCAGCTTTATTGCGGCAACTCATGAAAGTGGTTTGGAACATAGAAAGTATTATTTATATAATATAACTTTACATTATCCTGAGTGGGGGGGGGAGGTAGAATTTGCATGCAACCTACACGCCAATACCAGGCAGTCGCCGGTGGTTGATATGATGGAAGCGTATATTAGAGACCTTTCGCCACCAGCAGTATTTACCCATACCCACAGTGTTAAACAAAAACGCTGCACACTCTGCCCATCTGAGGATAGCGTTCTGCAGAATCTACCAGCCTGTAGAATGATTTCCTCACATCTAAATCGCCCACCTTTCCTGTTAAGCTCTGCCACCCAGTGAGAAGCGTCGAAACTTCACGGGCGAAGAGGACCTTGCGCTGCTGCGCCAAGCAGCATTCGATCGGCCTTTTTTAAGTGAGCGTGGAGGGGTCATTGCTGCTTGGGACTCCGTGGCTGCTACACTTGTCGGCGACGCAGGCTTTCCAAGAGACAAGCTTTCAGGAAAGCATGCACAGGCACGCTTGGACAAGCTTATTCGGCGCAAGAGAGATGCGAACACGGTGGCGCTTGCCGCATCGGGGGTCGCAGAGGAAGAAACTGAAGCTGTACGATTCTCGACGAGCTCATCGAGCTTATCGATGATCGTGCAGCAGTGCAGAAGTCTCAAAAAGACGCAGCCAAGCGAAAGCGTGACGAAGACGAGGAAGCCTCTCGAAACGTCCGTCGCCTCGCCATGCAGCGTCTTCGTGACGAGAGTACGACGTTACCACGAAAGCGCAAGGAGGAGGAAATGAAAGAGTTTGTACTCCAATTAAAGAAGCAGGAGATCGAAGCAAGAAAAGAGGAGCAGGAGACAAAAGCTGCTCAGCGCGCCGAAGAACGACAAAAGGACCGAGACTTTATGCTTGCATTGGCAGAGATGATTGGACAGCAGATCGCTGGAATTGTCAGCGCTAATCGTAGTTAGAACACGCAAATAAAACGGAAGGGTGGTAATTTGCTTTATGCTTTTAAGTATTCTGCCAATGTAGGGGGTACCAGTTCAAAATACTTACTGATCTGGTTCCCACCTTCATGGCAACAATGGCAATTGGTGAGCAGCATACTTACGGAGACATACTTATCTATAGGTCCCACCCGTAGTTTTAGTGACTTCTTGTAATCAATAAACGCCCAGTAGCTTTTCAAATGCGCGAACTTCCATTCCACCGATTCCCGCACGGCGCTCATTCTTGCATTAAAAATCTTTATCAATGCCGATACACTTGCACCTTCGTAACCCGACACGATGTACTGTTGGATAGGATACGCTGGGTCGCCGTACAGCGCGTACCCTCTAAAGATGTCGTCTTGCGTCTCAAAAAACTTCACCGAGAGATCGAATCCGATATCAAATTTATTCTCTCAGATGAGAGACAAGCTCTCGCTGTATTTCAAAACTGAAACGTGGCTTGAACTAGGCAAGTCCAGCGAGTATGTCAAGAGGAAGTTGGGGCTGGAGGGATTACAAGGCACAAAACTAACTTCGCACAAGAACTACAAACGGTGGGTGAAATATTCTCACAGGCTTGAAAAAAATCAGCTACTGGCAAAGGCCCAAAGAAAATACTCTACATTTAAGGTGTGGAACGAGGCCGGGCTTGAAAAGATCACCGGTAAAAAAGTGTGGAACGGCATGCCAGCTCAGGAAGCCATTGATGTTTTGAAGTCGATCCAGTCATCGGATTCGTTTAAGTACTATCAGCGCTACATTACTATGTATGATGGGTACATGATAAACTTGTTCGGTTCGGGTTATTATCGTCCCGACAGATTTATCGACGAGAGTGCCACTGCAGTGGAAAAGATGGCGAGGGCGTACATTTGGGCAGACAATGGAATAGACGAGCGGTATGTGAGGGAATTCTTGGGTTTGTTGAGGAAGAAAGACGACGAGGTCCTCAAGAACCCATATTACCGATTTTACAAGGATTCACTGAAGAAAGGCCAAAGCTAAACCAAACATGAACATCGCTCTATAATATCCGTCTAATTATTTCGACGTACGATTAGGTGCATGAACTCATTTGTGGCAACAATCAAGCAAATGCTGTGCAAAATATAGGAAACCCTACCTAGTATGTGGTTTATTGTCAGTGAATCAGACGAACTCTTCCAACCCTTCAAGTAATTCACCCATCTCGACCAGTCGGTCACTTCCTCTGGGTTCAACTGACCCTCTCCACAAGAGTACACCAATCAAAACGGAAGTGTGGTCCATCTGGTACCGTCATGCGGGTGTTCTTCTTCCTCTCGCTGTTCACAGCCACCGCCAACGCCGCTTGTAGTCGCGACTCGACTGCTCTGACATCCGACTGCTCGCAATGCTACCAAGGTCGCCCTTGCATCGCCTTCGCTGCGGATGCGTCGTGCAACGCCACCACCTTCGGAACGTGCGTCAATAACGGGAACTCGTCCAGCGGCTCAGCCGAGGACTCGTGCGCCTTCGAGTGTTTTACCAACGGACCCAGCGACTTTGCCGCCAATGGGGCCGTGGAGTTTACAGAATACGTCTTCTTTATTCCTTACGGGGATGTAGAGAGCAAGTGGGAGGCGAGCTGGACGAGCTCTCAGGCGAGTACAGTGGACTCGCAATTGGAGAGCGAAGCGGACGAGACGCAGCTTTATCCTAGCGAATCCAATTTAGTGTTCGAGGACATTGAACCGCTAACGTTCCAGTCAGAGACGACGACGGCGTAAGTGGGATATTTTTTATTTTAACATTTAGAAAGAATATGCTGACTTTGGGATGGTGACAGAGTGTTTGTCGGGGGGACGAGTGTGTGGGGAGTGAGAGGAAAAGTGTCGCAAGTGAAATTAAGCCCACAGTTCCTGTCAGCGAATACGCAGCTAACAAATATGTACGTGGTTGGATCTTATTTTGTTATATTTCTCTAAATGTTGATATTTATTTTTAAATAGAACGATGGTAAATCTCGGGTTTCTTGTGGATCCGCCGCAGTCAACGTTCCCTACGACGAATGTTGAGAGCTTCCGGATGTCCAATTGTCTGTTGAGCACGTATCCGGCAGATTTGGAGTTCATGACGTCGGTCGTGCACGTGTGAGAAAAAATATTAAATATTATTAGCTGTTAAGGGCGAACACTGACAAGTTTATGTCTTTAAAGCGACTTCTCGCAGAACTACTTTAAGGACTACGCTGTCAAGTTCTCGCATGAATCGATGGAGACGCTCAACTTGTCTACGAACGCCTTGACGGCCTGCAGCGGCAACTTTCCGAACATGTTAAACCTGTAGGTAACTTTATTTATATCTTTGTTTTTTAAGTTTATTAAACTTATTTTTTTTTCTGCGCAGGGATCTGTCTGGCAACACACTAACCGACATTCCATCCAATATCTTCAGCATGCCCAAGCTAAAAGTGTTAAACCTCAGTCACAACTCCTTCACGGGAGTGGCGCTGACAGCAAACCAAGTCTCGTTCCTCCAGAGTCTGGACTCTTTTACTATCGACACATTTGGCGACGTTTCTTCCTGTTCGGAGTCGGCGCAAGTCGAGATCAGCGGCGTATCTGTGTGCACCAGTACAGGTTATGCGGACGACTCGTCTAGTGACGGTAGCAGTAGCAACACGGCGGCGGTTGTAGGTGGCATCGTCGGCGCTATCGTCGTGGCAATTGTCCTTGGCGTCGCCTTCTTCTGCTACCGACGGCGTAAAGCTCACGGCAAAGGCTTCGGAACTACGACGGGGTTTTCGGATCCTACGAATCGATCTGGGAAGGGTGGGGCATCGCTTTGGAACGACCAAGAACTGCTGTCGTTGCAGGTTAATCCCGATGACATCGAGGACATTCGGAAGCTCGGAACAGGAGCTTTCGGAGTCGTCTACCTTGCCAAATATCGCCAGAACAGACTCGTAGCTTGCAAACGCCTTAAAAAGGGGGACGCGACGTTCGAAAACACCCAAAATTTCGTTGCGGAGATCAAATTATGCGCAACTTTGGACCATCCGCGGGTGGTTCAATTGCTCGGAGTTGCGTGGACCATTGAGAGCGACTTGCAAGCCATGTTCGAGTACATGGCCCAGGGAGATCTCCGTACGTATCTCGAGAAGACCAAGTCGGGGTCTTCGCTCTGGAACGCTGAGAAGCTGCAGCTTTCTGCGGATGTTACTGAAGCTTTAGTGTACGTTCACTCGTTCACGCCGCCGATCGTGCATCGAGATCTCAAATCTCGTAACATTCTTCTGTCTCAAGACACTCGAGGCCATCTGAGCGACTTTGGGGTGGCTCGCGTGCGATCTGCTAACGACACGATGACTAGAGGCGTCGGCACTGGACGGTGGCTGGCTCCGGAAGTGATCACGGGCAACAGGAACTACGACCAAACCAGCGACATCTTTGCGCTTGGCGTCGTCATGTCCGAGCTGGACACGCACATGTTGCCGTACGAAGATGCTCGTGGCGCGGGGGGAAACCCATTGGCCGACGTCGCGATTCTTCAGCTCGTAGCTTCGGGTAAATTACTGCCGACGTTCAGCTCTATGTGTCCTGCAGAGCTTCACGACCTGGCGAGACGCTGCATGGCGTTTAACCCACACGAAAGACCCACTGCAGTTGAAGTGGCCTTTGCGCTAAGGACCCTCCAGAAATCTGGCGGGTTTAATTAAACTGGGTCTCTTATTTGTCTTTTTTTGGGATATTGACTCACCAGATATTGATCACGCTCTGGCTGGAGTTGACAGATCGGTACTATCCTTTTAGCACTCGCCAGATTATGATCGCCCTTGCCAGATCCTGGTACCCTGGCTAACTATCTTCCAGATCCTAGTACTCTATTATAAGATTAGTACCCCGCACTGCGTGTGAGTCTTTGGGTTGCTCCTTCTCGTTAATGTTGAAATGCAGGTTGCCACTCAACAAAACAGAGCGGAAGATTTGCAGGCTTCTAAATCTGAAACTGTCTACAAGTAGCTAAACATGGCTTCCCACAGCGAAATGCGGCTCAGGAGACCGCATCGCGCCATCTCTTTATTTATATGTTTGTATCGATGCCTTGACTAAGTATTTGGTAGCTGCAGCTAAACAATTAAATATAGGTCATGTTTACGGGTCAAATTTGGAAAGCTAAAGACGTTGCTTAGAAAAACGTTAATTTTATCCAAAATAAAAGTGTCATGTGACCAAGGTACAGTATTTGAGTTACTGCCCCTCCGTAAAACCCTCATTTGCGGCCTGTTAGTCTGATTAAATTAGTGTTAAAAAAATTATATTTTTTTAATGATATTGATAATTAGGTTTTATCTACAACTTTAGAGCAGTGTGTAGTGTGAGCGTTGGATGACGCGAAGCTCGTAGGCGACCACATGAGCTGGCGGTCGCTTCTCCGGGTCTTGGTCGAGACAGCGCTCCGCCAGCATTCGAAGTTCCGGTGGACAACTGGCGCCAAACCTGGGGCGCAGTTGGCCAGTAGCGACGAGCTGCAAGATGGCAATGTCGTTCAGGCGATTGCCATTGGCTCCTCGCACATCTTCGTACGGGATCGCGTGTGTATCCATCTCAGACAAGACCACGCCGAACGAAAAGACATCCACGGACTGATCGTACTTGCCACTACCGGCAATGACCTCGGGCGCTAGCCAGCGACCTGTGCCGACCGCAGCAGTCATCGTCTCGTCCACGGATTTGTATCTCGAGGCCCCGAAATCGGTCACTTTTGCCTTCAGCTCGCCCGTTAGCAACACGTTCCGTGACTTGAGATCCCGATGCACTAGTGGCGGTGTGAACGAGTGCACGTACACCAACGCCTCGATGATATCGGCAGCTAGTTGCAGCAACTCCTGACTCCAATGGCGAGGAGACGTCGGATCCACGAGGTAGTCACGTAAGTCACCGCCCTCCATGTACTCGAACAGCGCCTGCAAGTCGCTCTCGATCGTCCAAGCGCATCCAAGAAGACGCACGACGTTCGGGTGATCCAAAGGCGCCACCATCTTGATCTCCTCAATAAAAGCTTGCGTTCTCTGCTTCGTCACCAGGTCGGAACGCAGTCGCTTGGACGCCAGCAATTGAGAGCCACGGTACTTCACTAACCACACGATCCCGAACGCTCCACTGCCGATCGTCCCAATGTCCTCAATCTCGTCATACTTCACCTGCAGCGACAATAACTCCTCGTCGTTCCAGAGTGAATACGCCGTTGAGCTTTGGTTACTCTGTGTACTACGAGTCGAGATACGAGGCGAGTAATTACTCTCCTCGTACTCATAGTCGCTACAGAAGCGTGGGCCTCCACTCACAGGTGTGCGTCGACCACCACGGTAGCCTTTATCAACTGGAGATCGCGCGAGAGGCGGCGATAGCCCACCAAAGTACGACTCACGAACTACTCGGGAGCGATTGTCGTGTCTTCGTACGCGCATCCTGTACAGCCAAATGCCAGCTAGCACCACAGCAACGAGCACTAACAGGCCTCCGACGATGGAGCCCACAAGAACCAACACGTCCGACGACGAGCTGGAGGCTTGGTTGTTGCTGTCGTTGTCGTCGTTCGAGCTGTCGGAGATGCAGACAGTCAGCGAGTGCACTTTGAGTTGGTTGGCGCTGCTGCAGCTGTCGATGGGCTTTAAGAAATCGGAGTTCTCGAGCTCTAGCATGATCAGTTCGCTCAGGAACGAGGCTTGGTCTTGAGTAAACCAGGGAGAAGCGAGAGGATTCCCTTTGATCTTTAACTCTTTCAGCCTGTCATGGATGAAGAGGCTGGCTGGGATGTCACTGAAGTTGTTGTCGGTCAAGTCCAACGTCACGAGGTTGGGGAAAACAGCGCGGAACGAGTGGAGGTTATTGTCTTGAAAACTCCTAAAATTAGTCAAATGGGTGAGTTTGGTGTGAAATATGCAAAGAAATAGAAACGTACAAGTGGACGATGGAGTTGAGTGCTGCAGTTGCAGCGATTTCGGTGATGTAGTTTTTATCCAGATCACTGTAAAGTTAGTTAAAGTTAGAATTTAGAAATTGGGTAAAATTAGAAATTTTACTTATACGTACAGATTTTGAAGACTGGTAAAATTTGCTACCAGAGTCGGGAACGCAGACAGCAGCGTGTTGGCAAGACTTAATTTCTGCAGCGACGTTGGCAATACAGCTGGCAGCTGCTGAAGTGTAGCGGGAGTGGAGAGATCCACGTTGTTCAGCGCCACATTCGTGACCCTGGATTGGGTGGAGATGACGTCGGGGCCGAACGTCACCTTGGCCACTTTGCTCTTAACCGACGCATTTACACTGCTGCCTCCCAGCAATTTACTAAAAATAAACAGTCGTTAGAAACGAAAATAATAATATTTAAACACAGCACTTACAATGACGTCACGGTCGGCTGGAGTTCAATGCTGCTGACGTTGGAGACTACGTCGTTGCTCGCCACAGCGAACGCGTCAGTCTCATCGGGTACTGCTTTAATCTGTCGCAGGAACGCAGACCCGCTGCTGTCTGTTCTCTCCTTCTCGTAGCCGCTCTCGTACGCTCCAAACTCGATTAGAAACGTAAAGGTATCCGGATCGTCCAATGACTTAGCAAAGCATTGAACCGCGCACTGTTTCGCTGTGATGCACGAGGCTCCCGACGGACAGGACGATGCGCTGTATGCCACACACGGTTCGTACTGCGAGCATGCGTCGTCACAGCTCGTTGACAGCGTCGACCCTGTGAGTCCACACGCCTGCCCTGCCACCCCCTGGATGAACAGCAACGTGGCTGCTGCCACGCCCGCCTTCATGGTAAGCGGTGTTCGCCCTGTGTCCTGCCTCCTGCGGGTCCTACCGCATCGGCGCATTGGATTGAGACCCTTTGACAGGAAGTCTCACAGTCCATCGGATGTCCAGCCGTCGAAAACTTTCGCGCCACTTCTTAGTCCTTTTGGCAGGTGACAGCGCTGTCTTTTTCTTCCAACTTGGAGTGGAGCACTAACGCGTACTGCACCCAAAAGCTACACTTGAGTCGCTGCGAGCCGCTAGGTGGACAGGCAGCTGGTCAATAGGAAAGCGCGGAAATTAGTCCCAGGGGATGACACTGGCACCAAACTCTTTGCCGACTGCAGAGAGTTTTTGACGACTGAGCAAGGAATCGAGCCGCTCGTAGTGGAGGCATGTGGCTATCCTCCCTTCACGCAGAGGGCGAAGCTCACCCTCTGCGTGAAGCTGGCGTGGAGTGCCACCTTCCCACCGGTTGTCAACTCGAAGGGCTGTCATTGGAGCTCTACACCGTCTATCTCGATAATATCAGCAAATAAACACTATGTATGCAGATAGAGTTAGCCTTCAAATGACTCTATTTTACGATATTATTAGTAAAGGAAGGTTTGTAGCAAAGTGGTACTTTGACGTACAAAATCTAGGTTGGGCTCATTTATGGGGAGAAACAGGCCGAACGTAGGATTTTGCTGATTGTGTTGCCAGTTTGTGACGCGGCGAATCCCTAGTTTGCACCGAAGTCAGCGCGATCGCGATCGTTGATGTTTGCGGTCTGGAGAAAGCGCCCATGCCTCTGGATTCCAGGCGATACGGTAGAATATTTGTCAACCCTTGACATGGATTGCTTGTTGTCGCCGAAATGTCTGACCCCAGGAGAGTATATAGTCGCTAATCCAGCAACTTAATGAAAGGTTTTTGAGTTGCTCAAATCGTAATTAGCGTTTTTAACATTTTACTGTTAACACTACGACTGTTGCAGAATTGTTGTTTTTATTCAGCCAATCGTTATCTTCAGCCGAAGTTAATTAGGGCACGATAATTTACCGATAGTTACTTCGAGTGGCGCCAGAAATAATTGCTATCTTCGTCCGATTTTTGATACTGTGCTATGGACGAAGTTAAGACGAAGTTAGCGGGTACAGTACAGAACAATGGTGTTTTCAGCTTATGTGCAGTCAAACTTACATGCAAATAAACAGCTCATAAGATTGTCTACTTTAGGGGTACTCTGATTGCGTGTGTGAGGAGCAGGACTCCCGATTATGGCATGATCTTTTCAATTATTTCTAATAAAATCATAAATATATTATTTCTTCGAATACCTGGATGTTTTTTATAGTTTATTTGCTTAAAGAATCATCCGACATAATTTATAAAAAACCATCTTTATCATTATGTACTTCTCACAACCAATCATGACTTTTCACTACTTAAACTCTCTGCTACCAGCACTTCTCTAAGCCAGCTATACGACACAGCTTGCTCACGTCCTCATTTTTTAATTTAAGCAACTCGAACAAAGCCCCTCGCTAAGCTACTATGGTCCTTGCCACGCTTCCCCGCCACGCCACCTTCACGCCAGCCCAGGTTACTGGGCTCTACTTCCGACCGTGCCGTCCCGCCGAGGCCGAGATCGTCTCGGGGTACTTCCGCTGTCGTTGTGACACGATTCGGAAGCAGACTCGCCGAAGTGGCTACTCCAGCCTAATGCAGCACGTCCATCGGGAGCACCCGGACTTCAAGGCTGTTGTGCTAACTGCAGCTACCGCCGAGACAGGCTCGCTGCTAGACTACGTCCGTCGGTCAGCCCTCAACATATTTGGCTGGCTCGACTGAATTGTCAAGAACGGTCTCCCACTCCACTTCTGTGAGAATGCCGCTGCTAGAAGGTAACCATCGTTTAGCCAGATTTAAATATGTAGATTTTATTTAGGCTAACTAAATTTTGTGCTACTCCGATACTCTAATTTGGACCCGATTTGTGTCGAGACACTTCAGCGAGCAATGGAAAGTCTCACTCGGATTGTGGAGCGTCACATCGCGTCCGAGATGTCTCAGCGATTTGGTCTCATCCTGGACGGCTGGAGCCACGCGTCGGAGCATTTTGTCGCCGTCTTTGCTTGCTACGAGGTGGACGGCGTCGTAAAGACCCCGCTCCTGTGCATGGCACCACTGCTGAGCGAGCCGAACGAAGATCTCTCTGCGCGCGGACACTACGAGTTCCTAGCTGGCATGCTGCCCCGCGACTTTAGTTTGCAGCTGGATGCCTGTTTGTTTCTTGTAGGGGACAACTGCGCCATTAACCGGCTACTAGCGACGCTCATTAGCGTGCCGCTCGTTGGCTATGCTAGCCATCGTCTGAACAGGGCAGTTCAAGTTGATATGCAGTATGAAGACGACCTATCCGGTGTTCAAGCTCTGATGGTGCGCCTACGTACACTCAAGCAGTCGGCTAAACTCATGTAATTACTGTTTTTGGTATTTATTTGTAAAATGTGTTGCTAACTTATTATGTTTTATTCTGTATGGCTTTATATATTGCAGGTCGAAAACCTCCCTCCGTCCTATAATTCGACAGGACACACGATGGAGCTCAACGTTCAGCATGGTTCACCGGTATTTCAAGCTTCTGGAGCACCTCGACCCCACGGGCGACGACATTGTGGACGTCCTCCCCGCACCATCCTGTAACAAGCGTCTTCTTTTGCAGCTAAAAGACCTAAAAAAAGGTTGAGTCCGTGTCCAAGGCACTTCAAGCTAGATGTGTAACATTGCTGGACGTGCGTGTGTGGTTCGACGGAATAATTGCCCTAAGACCACATTACGCAAGGTTTCTTGGTACGTTATTATGTTTTTTATTCTACTAACACGCTGATTTATTAACAAATTTATTTGTGTGACACAGAACCACGCGCGGACGTTGTGCACAGCCCAGACTTCGAGTCGGCGTGTGTGCCTGTCCTGGGAGGGAGCCAAAGACTAACGAGAGCCGATAAGGCAGTGCTGCAGCCCTTCGGCTGCCTGGAAGAGGAAGCAAAACCTGCACGCACTGCAGCAGAAGCGGAAGACAGTGGAGATGAAGGCTCATTCGTGGCGAGTCTACAAAAACGTCGCGGTTTAGCAGCAGTTCAGCCGCGGTACGACCTGCTTAGCTGCATTCCACCTACTTCTAACCTTGTTGAGAGGTTCTTTAGCGTCGCCAGGACGACGTACGGGCAAGAGCGCCACAGCTTGCAGCCTATTACATTAGAAATACTGCTGTTCTTAAGCCAAAATGGTGAGTATTGGTCAGCTCAGACTGTAGACGAGGCCACTCGCTATTCATTAACATGGTGTTGGTTTGCTTTACATTATGCTCTTATTTATTATTTGTTCGCAGTGCATGACATAATGTATGTGATGGCACTAGCTGCCCAATGCCATTATTTATGGTTAAGGAGGGCTCCCTTTAAATAACAATGCCATAATCGGGAGCCCTGATGAGGAGGAGGGAAGGGGGGAAGGCTCCTCGGCGGGGCTTGCTCTACATGTACATTGTCAATAACACTAGAAATGGGCAGCTCAGTACAGGCAGAAAGGAGAATGTGACGAGGGTTTATTGAGTATTGAGTACCCTTCAGCTGGTATTTGGTCATTCTAAAACCAAAACAATCCTACTCCAAACTCTTATTTAGGCTGGGATAAAGTGCGCCAGTTCGGTGTAGCAAAGCCATGTCAAGAGAGGTCAAACGCAGAGCTGGTGAATCGCCATGTCAGCTTGGCATTCAGTAAATCTTTCAGGTTCCGAGAGTGGGTGTTCGTGGTTGAAGACGTGATAGAACACCCCGAAAGTAGAGCGAGGGTTGTTGGAGTGACGGGCGTGATCAGATTTGTATACACTTCACGCTTTTAATCGTGCTTCTAAAGCAACAATAGAGCGCTTAGGCAGCTCGAAACGAAACGAAACTGATTTGAATTTGATAGTTTGTGATTGTTTTGCTGTTTTCGTTTCGTTTCCTACTGGGGTGACGAGAAGTTGTGCTCGTGCTTTTTGCGACGAAACGGAATCGGATAGGGGATTAGTGGCAAACAGCGCTGAAATGGACTTCGATAGCGATGAAGATATCATGACGAATCGTCGGTTGGCGAGGGGAATGCTGGATGCTTCGTGTGTGAAGCAACTACATGGAGACTGGGATGCAGCTTCAAAACTACGTCACCGCGGTTTGGCGCTTCTCCACGATTCTACTCCCCGCTTCTCTGTTCCCCATATCTAGTTTGATATTAGCAACGTCACTGAAGGCACATATCTAGTCTTCTATCGCTTTACACACCGCCAGCAACGACAACTACAAGCGTGCTTCAAATTACCTGACGTCATTCGCACACGCTCGCACTCCCTACAAGCGTGCTTCAAATTACCTGACGTCATTCGCACACGCTCGCACTCTGCAGTGGACTGGAAGGACTCTGCATCAGCATCATACCCGCATAGATGGCTAGGGTTGTCGACGATATACTGTATGGGTGCTGGCCAAGTGCTCTAAGTAGTATTTTCTACTTTGTAGTACGTGTTATCATAAAAAAAACAATGGAACACTGGAGGGTAAATAAGATTTAGGTACATCTAGATAATTCATGTTTAGCCAAGCTATTTACGACCAAGGTGCTGGGCTGGATCAAATTTGGGGCTTTGTGGATAGTACAGTGCGCGGAATATCCAGACCTACAGGAGATAAGTCTCAAAAGGGTGTGTGCAGTGGTCACAAAAAGAAGCTCGGGCTGAAGCTCCAAACTATAGTCTCGACGGACAGCATGATCTTTCATAATGACGGGCACGTCGAAGGGTGTCCCCACGATGTTGCATGGCTAGGCAAGTCGGGGCTGGAGGAGCGCATTCGTGCCGATATGCGATTGCGTGAATACTTTATTTACGGAGACCAAGCATATGGCCGAACCGACGTGTTTGTATCGCCTTTCAAAGACTCAAGACTGACCCCTGCACAAGCAGAACTTCATGAGTCAATGTTGACCTTGAGGGTATCAGTAGAAGGGTCGTACGACCAAATGGTTAGCTATTGGGCTGGAGTGGATTTCAAACGGAAAATGTACTTGGGTGGGGTACCAGTAGCGACGTTAAACAAGACAGCTGTGAGTTTAATAAATTATATCACGATTCTCCGCGGCGTCAACAGTAATAGCAAGTTTAAAGGCATGTATCTTCCTACTCTGCAAGATAATTTCTCTGTTTAGCAATACAGTACAGCTGTAGCTCATTCATTTTCTTACTAAAAGTTTCAAAAGAGTTTCTGTTTCAGCTGCTTGGTGCTGCATGTGTTATAGGAGTAGCTCGTGTTTACGCCGCTGCTGGATCTTCTCGCAAGAGGTCGAAACAGAATATCCGATAAGTAACTAAGGTACTTTCCAATGAAGAATTTGTTTTTACTTAGAGCAATGTAATGAAAGATATAACCAATAACTGCAATAAATATCTTTCCAGAAGCCGGTTAGGTATAACCGGTTAAAATAGACCAAAAATTGGTATGACTGCTTATTGCTAGTATCGACTGGCCGTAACTCGCCGGGTACGCAGCTCAACTTTCATTCCGAGTCTCTCATTTTACCTTTTGCCTAGATCTACACACACGAGCACGATCCTACGATGAACAATAATATTACTGCTTATTTCTTCGAGAGCCTTGGTGACGGTCTATTTCGCTATAATTTGTGTGACGCGGCGCGAAAGCCAATCCCGAGTACGGGCTACAGTAACCTGATGTGCTTCTGACGGCGCGGCACGACGGGTATCGGTATCTCTTCAGCTCGGCGACTGCTTTCTCAGACTCAAAGCGACTATGT